AGCTTTCGTCAGTACTAAAAACATGTATTGGTCATAAAACAATGTGCCCAGTTTTACATCCAAAGCATGTTCTCAGTATTGAGGGAGGCCAATTCTGAATTTCATTTGAAAATGTTGGAATCTGTTTACATTAATTCTGACTAGCCATCTCTTGGTATGCAGAAGGAGGTAATTAACCTGTAAGTGTTAAATATCTATGTTGGTTTGTGGAAGTTGTACAGTAGATGTAATCTAATTTATTTTGTACTCATAAACAAGACTTAGAAAATTTCATATGTAAATAATAACCAGTTTTGATGGGTACTATGTTAAATGAAGTTTTTTTTCTTCAAATAATGATAAATGTCAAAACATATATCTATTCCTCTTTTTCTCCTTTACTTTTAAGTGTTTTATTTTTTTTACCTTGTTACTACCGTTCTGGGAATGTAAGTAGAAGTATATATTTGGGTTGTCAGTATTGGTTTTTAAAACCCAGTTGAGTTTTTTGATATCTCTCTGTGTTGCTGATTTTTTTTACTAATATAAGTTAATGAAATCATGGTTATACAACTTACAGTTTCTCAATTTTTAATTTCTTAAATCAATAGAGAAACAAACTGTTATTGTTATGGCTTGTGTGATCCACGAGTGGTTCCTTAAGTCTAATATTACTTAAATGTGATATTGCTTAAATCTAATATTACTTAAATGTGATATTGCTTAAATCTAATATTACTTAAATCCAATGATATTGATATTTAAATCTAATATTCCTTAAATCCAATATTACTTAAATGTGATATTGCTTAAATCTTAAATGTGATATTGCTTAAATCTAATATTCTTAAATCCTATATTACTTAAATGTGATATTGCTTAAATCCAATATTACTTAAATGTGATATTGCTTAAATCTAATATTCCTTAAAAATCCCTTAAATATTACTTAAATGTGATATTGCTTAAATCCAATATTACTTAAATGTGATATTGCTTAAAAATCCCATATTATATTACTTAAATATTGAAATTAAATGTGATATTTAAATCCAATATTACTTAAATGTGATATTGCTTAAATCAATATTACTTAAATATATTTAAATCTTAAATGTGATATTGCTTAAATCTAATATTCTTAAAATATTATAAATCAATATTACTTAAATGTGATATTGCTTAAATCCTTTAAAATATTACTTAAATGTGATATTGCTTAAACCAAATTCTTAAAATATTGCTTAAATTAAATCCCCATATTACTTAAATGTGATATTGCTTAAATCCAATATTACTTAAATGTGATATTGCTTAAATCCAATATTACTTAAATGTGATATTGCTTAAATCCAATATTACTTAAATGTGATATTGCTTAAATCTAATATTCCTTAAATCCCATATTACTTAAATGTGATATTGCTTAAATCCAATATTACTTAAATGTGATATTGCTTAAATCCAATATTACTTAAATGTGATATTGCTTAAATCTAATATTCCTTAAATCCAATATTACTTAAATGTGATATTGCTTAAATCCAATATTACTTAAATGTGATATTGCTTAAATCTAATATTCCTTAAATCCCATATTACTTAAATGTGATATTGCTTAAATCCAATATTACTTAAATGTGATATTGCTTAAATCCAATATTACTTAAATGTGATATTGCTTAAATCTAATATTACTTAAATGTGACATTCCTTAAATCCCATATTACTTAAATGTGATATTTCTTAAATCCAATATTACTTAAATGTGATATTCTTTAAATTGGGGGATGTTAAAATGAAGTTTTACTGTATAATAAGATGTGACAAAACTAAAACAAAATAAATTATTTTTCTAATAACTATGATTCAACACTAATTTCTATTGCTGACTTTTGATTCTATTTGTGTTTAATGATATACTAAATAAACCAAAGATATCATGTCAACCTTAAAAGTGAAATTAAAAAATAAATTCAAATTTTTAAAGAACCAAGAATTCTTATCAGGCAAAACTTGAGAAAATTTTGTTTCTTTAAATTTAAAGTTCAAACATTGAGGCCAAAATGCAAAATGAGAGATTTATTAAAAACTTTGCAATAATGTCCTGTTAGGAAGTGACAAATTAAGTTTGATATAAATTTCTAGGACAATTTTTTCAGAAAAAAGTCCAAATAATAACAGAAAATAGAATGAATATTAACAGGTTTGTTAAAATAAGTTCCCTAGTACTATTTCAATTAAGTTTTTTTATCATAAAATTTACAAAATAAATAAAACTAATGAAATCAATGCATAATATGAAATGATATGCTAAACCATAATTAATTCACATTTCTCTTTCAATCTCAGGCCTCCTCAAATCTAGAAAATTGTAATCTAGAATATTTTTTTGACATTATAATTTATACCTATGACTGAAATTCCTCTGTCAGGAGCTAAGCATCTGCTGTTTGAGAATCACTCTTCAAAACTGTAGTAAGATCTTTGATTTGAACTGAAAAATGTGTGCTTTGTGTTTTATAATAGAAGGATTTTATAAACTTAGAATAAATTAAATAATTTAAACAATTTAATATGAATGTACATTGATGACAAGATTAAAATGAATTACCAAAATACGATGCATTATTTTTCTTTGATAAATTTCCTCAGTGGAAAAGAGGGCAAAGTATAAGCAATGTCAGGGGTCAGGATGCTTAAGCTAGCAAAAATCAATTTTGCTGCTTGGAAAAATCTAGTCATAACCTAGTATGATGATGAACAGAGAATTTTTCTATAGAAACATTGTTGATTTAAGAATCTTTAGAGTATCATGAAGGATCATTAAGATGTAAAAAGTTTCTTCAGATTCAATAATTAATGTTTATCTTGCATATGTTTCTCTCTTTATATATATATATATGAGAGAGAGAGAGAGTTTAAAATGTGCTATATTTATAAGAGAAAGGTGCTCAATATAAGAGATAAAGCATTTATAGGTCTAGGCATAGACCTATAGTGAGCTGGAGATCACACTGAAGTATGAAGCCGACAGTCATCATAGAATATTGATTCCTATGTCTACACTGTCTCCACCTATAAATGGTCTATCTCTGATATTGAAAACATCTCCTATGAATATAGTAAATTTTACAATATATCACACACAGACACACACACTTACTTATAATTTTGAGGATATTCAAAGTCTAGACTGAGATCAATGATTAAAATATAAAAAGAAAAACAACAAATTTGAAGATAAGAAGTAGCAAAGCTAATTATTAATTTAAAATTAAAACTTTGATATGAAATGTATACATTTAATTCATAATATTTTCATGCATATATACACGTGTGTGTGTGTGTGTGTGTGTGTGTGTGGTTTGGTTGGTGGTTTCTACTTAGTAGCATATCAACTTCTATGGGTTATTTAATGCCGAAATCTAAATATTTTGTACTTAATTTTATTTTATTCTTGGAGATAATAATGGTTTAGCGATACAAGTCTTATTAATCCATAGCTGGAGGGAGAAAAGGTGGATTCATACCTTTCCCAAAGGTATTTGTGTGTAAGTGAATAAAACAAACACAACTGGATTTGGAACTTGGCTCTCCAATTAACAATTTTGAGCCATTATCCATTACACCACCTGCAAATACAAGCTTACAGCACTTGGTATTCCTAAGTGGTCACCAATCTAGGTACTGACCAGGCTCAATATTGCTTAACTTTGGTGATTGTATCGGAACCTGTGTTTGAATGTGATCTAGCCATAAGTCTTGTGTGTGTGTGTGTGTGTATGTATATATATATATGTGTGTGTGTGTGTGTGTGTGTAAAAAGTCCATCAGAAGACAAAATGCATTGGTAAAGAAAAGTTTTCATTTTGTCGTGTGTGTGTGAAAATATTTTAAATGTCTTATGTCAACATAAAAATAATTTTTATTTTTATAGAGCCAAAAAAAAAATATGACCTGTAAATAAACTTAAAAATAAATGCTTCATTATAGTTCGCCAAAACATCTACCAAGAATTGGATTTAAAAAAACATACGCATCAAACTCAGATTTATATAAGTTAAATGAACTATTTTATTACTAATAACTGTGTGTGTGTGTGTGTGTGTGTATGTATGTGTGTGTGCATGCAGTAATATAAAGAATTAAATTAAATGTAAATTATTTAAATTATAAATAAATACTAAATTAATTCCTTAAGTACTGTATAAAATTAAAAACATTGCAATCTTATTGGTATTTCCATGACAAATATTAAAGCAAACTATATTCCTTAGTTCCACCAGTTTTGATCTTTACAGCTAAGACCCACTATGACACATCCACAGAGTTGAATCATCCTCATTTCCTTCATATTCCATTGGTAAGAAAGACGTTCCACTCACACAGCTTATAACCAAGACCTGTTACTCTGTGGAAGAGACACCTGTGTGGATGTTTCCCTTATTACTACAATCTTAACCACTTAAAAGGTCTATGGTCAACTGTTATCTATTCTATATATCCTCATAATCTGTACTTGCTTCATCTTTTTATGTCCATACAACAGCCTCACTGAATAACCTTCTCTCTTGAGTGGCACTTGGGCCTTAATTCAAAGACCCTGAAGATTAAAAAATTAATCTGAAGAAATGTTCTGGATCTCATTCATACAAATTTCTCCAAATTAGCAGTAATGACACGATCTTTAAAAAAAAAAAAAAAAAAAATAAGGATATTCATATCTTTAACCAAAATTGAATTTAAAAAACTAGTTTTTTTATGTTTCTTTTTTGTTTTTCTTTTATGAAGAAGGAGCCAATTCAACTGGCACAGAATTGGCCCAAAATGAGAAACTATAAATGTTGGTTGCTTTTGTATTTTCCATTTTTTTAAATTATTGCTACATCCATCATTATGTACTGTAGTATTGCAAAGTATGACCAGGTTTCTAAAAAAAAAAAAAAAAAAAAAAAAAAATACAAATAAACAAAAATATATATATATATCACACCCTTATTTTTTTGTTTGTTTTTGTTTTAGTCTTTCATAAGGATCAAATCGTCAGACAGCAAGATACTTGTTGGAGGTGGAATATTGGGTTGAATATTCTTGGTTTGAGCGGTCACTGGTATGGTCATTTCCATTGGGCTAAGAGGTGTTTTGTCCATTTCACTGATATTAATATGGAAAGACTCGTCCATTGAATCACAAATGTCATCCTCACAATAACTTGTGAAAAAACTTGGAAAGAGCAAAGCTAGTGAAAAAATAGCAGCTCCTGAACAGAAAACAATCAGTCCAACAACTTTACTAATGTCCAGCATTTTGTTATAGCGTTCAGCATCCCTGTCTACCATGGCAATTTTGGTGCTGTCATTGATATCAATTATGACTGTTCGCTGAGGAACCAAGTAACCGATGAGAATTCCAACAACCCCAAAGAATAACAAATTGGCACCTAACCACAAGAATATCTTCCACCAAATTGGTGGGCATTTCTGGCGTCGGTTTTGAGGATGCAGCAAGTATTGAAAGGAATCATCCTGCAAGAAAAAAAGAAAAGCAAAATAATCACAGAAAGTGTTTTTATTTATATGTTGTCATTACCACGATGTTTCAGCAGTTAGGCCCACCAGCCTTCTTCAGGTGCTTTTCAATCTGGATAAGTGTAAATTTCTTTTATAAGTGTCTTCATTCATCACACAATACAACAGTCCAACTAAACAAACCTGAAAAAGAGTTTAATGGCATATAATCATCTGGTAACAATAAAAGTATATTAAATTTAGAGTCTACTTAGTAAACTAGTTAGAATGTTTTGGAACAGAAGGGAATACCAAGAATATGTGCTTCACTTTCCCAAAGACTGGGTAGGACACATCAGCCACCTGCAGAATGGAGAAGGAAATTACTGGAAAGTAATTGAAACTCACCTGAAGCAAGCTGAATGACAATGACACTTCCACCGAGCTTCACTACGGCATATGACTTCACTGAATTTGATGTGTTCCTCTCGAATTTATATTTAAACTGGGGTCATCAGGAGAGAATGTGCACTGTTTCGGGGCCTTCCTCTCAACGATTTCAGTTGCACACCGGCCCCCCTCACTGATATGAGGCCCCATTATAACGATATACAAGTGTTGTAGATAAACTAGTTCAAATGTGTAACGGCGAAATTAATTTTACGAAAATTCTGAAAAACAGCAAACCTCAGCGTCCTGAGAATGCAACGTGAACCTCATTACGCATTCACGATCAGTCATGTCATGTCATTCATAAAGCGTAAACACTCCACGGAGTATTTCTGTTTTTTCCATATCCCCATAGAACTATTCTCAGTTACTTCTATTAGGCGTTTTATACTTTTGGCCCTATTACGCCCTTTGATTTCAATATACCTAAAGTTATGCTGTACTGAGAACTTGATGCTGGCTTCAGGTTTGCAGGATGACCAGTTCTTCATTAAAAAGATATTTGCCAACGTGACATGAAAGCAGGCATTATGAATCTAGAAACCTGGGACTAAGACACAGCAGATAGCAGCAACAGGAGGCTTTCTGTCAAAGCTGGCATTCAGAACAGGGAGAAGAGGAGAGAGAACTAGTGGGAAGAGACTGCAGACAGTAGCACCTTCAGAGCCAGATGTGCCTTTCAGATGTTGCAACTGCAACAGAGCCTGCCATTTCAAGATCAGGCTGTACAGCCATATCAGGCACTGTAACTTAAGTACAAACTAGACCAACACTTCACACATATTTCATTAACTGATGAGAGAGAAGGATGCCAAAGAAAGAAGAATTCTAGTCAGAATTGCTCAAAAGTGACACTTTTATCTGAGGCAGAGAACATCTACTCTTATCTTTAGCAAATGTACTGATCCATATGTCCCCTCAGAGAGGCACTGTACCTTAAGAGACTATTGGGCTTTAAACTCATACCTGACCTCAAGTGGAACTCATGAGCCATCACTAAAGGTACAGGTAAACTACTCAGCTCCCTGTACCATTCCAGTAAGTGCCTGACTTCACATGCTATTCTCTAACTTTACAAGAGCCAGTTCAGGCCAAAAATGGAGTACTGTTGTCATATTTGAGTGAGAACTACTCAGATTGTACTCTCCAACTTCAATAGAGTTCAAAAGCATTTCTGAGTCCTTGTGGGTGATGAATTATTTTCCACCCTCCAAGCTCACTCTCACTGGCAGGATGTGGCAAGCCTCTCACTGCTCTATCATTACTTTCACGGAAAGGGCTTGGATGAACTACATTCCTTAGTTCTGCCAGGTCTAACTTTCACTGCAAGGACCCACCATGCCACTTACATTGTATCAAACGACCCAGATTCTCTCTGTATCCCATCAGTGAGAAGTAAGTTCCACTCAAACAGCTTCTTCCTGCGAACAACTGATCTGTAGAACTGACTCTTAAGAGGTTGTTTCCCTGATCACTACAATCTTAACCTGTTCAAGTCTAGCGTTAACCATTATCTTCCTCTCCTATCAGTACAAACTGTCTCTTCTAATGTAATGCTTTAACTTAAGTGGCCCCAGGCTTTGTACAGAGTGAACCTTACTTTAAAAACAAAATATTTTTGCTATGCTAGTTTAAATAAAATTTCAATCCCTTTGTTTACTTGACCTTTATTTCATGGTCACATGGTATTAGTATAAAATGCAGCATACTTTCAAAAATATCCCTTTTTCCCTATTTTTCCTTTCCCTGAGTAGATTTGCTCAGTATATAAGTAATTTTGCCACAACAGTCAAAGCACTCATATACACATTCACATATAAAAATACTCACTTTTAACAAAAATTGGAATATTTGTGGGAGTACACCATCTTTGTTTCTAACAGGAAAAGTTTTTTATTTATTTGTTCATCATTTGTATTTGAAATTTTCGGCTGCCACTGCTTTTAGTAAGCTAGAAGTAATACCGCAACAAAACTAACTAGCACTTAGTGCTATTTTCAAATGAGCAGAGACATAATAAGTCCTGTTTTTGACATTTTTATCATATTATACATTAGAAATAGAGTTTTACTTAGTCCAATCTGTACAGTATCTGACTGAAACCAAAATGGCAGCACCCATGAGAAATTAACATCAACATCTTTGTAGTCATTTACTTCCAGTAAATTGCAATTTCCTATTTTTTATAAAAAATATGCCAGTACAGCCAGATAATAATTCTATAACAATGCAGCAATGAAAACATTAAGAGACACACACACACTATATATATATATATATATATATATATATATATATATATATATAAAATTCCAGTAACTGATCACAACAAAAAAGTTTCATATGTTTTCACACAGTCATCAGATAGTCAACAACTGCTATTTGTGAAAATGGGAATTTAATACACCCTCAGCAAGTTCCCAATGTTACAACAAGGGGAGTTGATTGGTGCATATCTATGCAGACAACAACCAAACTTGCCAAGGCAGTGAATTCCCATCTGGCCAAAATGAAAATATCGAAAAATCCCCTACCCAAAAAATACAAAAAATTCAAAAGCATGCCTAGAAAGTATTTGACAGTATGGGAAACAGGAGGGTCAGAGCAAAGAAGCATAACACTAAAAGAAAAAAAGGGTTTAATACACAACCCTCAAAGCCCTTCATATTAGAGCATATATAAAAGTGAACATTGAAGTCAACACTCAGAGACGACAGGCTGTTTCATGCTAGACGCAATTGTCAGGCCTAACGATTGTGTCTAGCATGAAACAGCCAGGTGCCTCTGAGTGTTGACTTCAATATTCACTTTTATATTTACATACACTCTACCTCTGATATTGAGCACTTAATCCTACAAATATAGCACACCTTGAAACTATATATATATATATATATATATATATATATATACACACACACACACTATTTATGCTCTATAATGTTGTATATACACTATTTATGCTTTATAATGTTATATATATATATATATATATATATATATATATATATATATACATACACACACTATTTATGCTCTTGTTTGCCCACTGAACACTATAGAGAAAGGGTAATTTTAAAAACAGTGGCTGCTCCTGCTATTAATACATCACTCTTTAGTTATCAATTGAGTACTCTTGGCTACTGGCGTTTGTGGTACATCACATATATAATACATTAAAAATTTCTCTTTCTCTGCTGTGCGCTGATAGCTTAGGAGTAGAATCTCTGACTGATGCCAAATCGCTAAAGTTTTGATCCCAGCTTGAAGCAATCGAATGTCTAGCCACACTGATGAGCTGTGATACAGCAAGACAGGCTTGTATGTGGATGACTATAATATATATATAAGCAAGTTTTGGAATAACTCATTTTTAAATTTATTGAGTTTTAAACGCACATATAAATTCATAATTTCCTGTTTCCAAGGATACAGAGAAATCCAATCATTTAGACAGGGGTGGTAGCGTGTTCATTTTTTTTTAACTATTGTTGTATCAATTATGAGTTACATTTGAAAAAGAGGTTAAGTTTAGGGAGGGTAGGGGTGTATTTTTCAACAAATTCTGACATCCGTTAAATGCAAGTCGTCTGTTTTTTTGTTTTTTTTAACGGCAAAAAGTTTTTCGGCATTTTTTTTCTGTACTTGTATACTTAAAGATTATATCTAGGGGTGTTTGGGTTAGAATATGTTTTATTTAACTACAATTTTAAAATATTTTTACTCTTAATTACTAATAGACTATATTTTTTTTTAAAACAATTAAATGTAATAGAATTACTTAAATTAGTTAAAATTATTTTTTCATATCAAATATAAGTATGTATATTACCAGCTCCCATTTTTTATTTTATTTTTAAATATTATTTAAGGAAAGTTTTTGACAATGATGGTAAAGAATAGCTATTTCAATCCTCTGATTCAGTAAATTTTTATTTTTTATAAATATATGTAATATATAGTTTCTCATGTATGCACAAAGGACATGGGTCATTTCATGACCTACATATTCCAGCTTTTCTTATTAATTTCCATTTTACTGTAGGTGTTTTATTGGATTCTTTTAAATGCCAGGTATATTTTGAAAGGGATGTCTGATTTCTGTATTTATTTATCCTAAATGAAGTTTGATATTGATGGAACCTCTTTTTGAACTCATGGCTTGTGCAACCTATATAGATTCTTATGTTTTTGGGATTCTCAATAGATGAGATATTGCATTGGTATACTAATGATTCCATGCGACATTTATTTTGTAGAGGACAGTTATGAGGATTTCTACAGTTATATAATTTTTGTTTATCTTCATCTCTTTTTATTTTAGAGATGAAGATAAACAAAAATTATGTTCAAAAGCACTATTTGGGCTTTGTTTGATCAGAAGGTCCTATATGACCAAGTGGTCTTAAGCACATCAGACGGTTTCCCATAGGGGAGACAGGTTTTAATCCTGCCAAAGAGCGCATATTTTTCTAACAAGATTTCTTGAATATTCAGGCTGGTAGATATAAATCAATAAATATATTGTTTAATAAGTAAATAAAAACAGAGCATCTACTCAAATATGA